CCCGGGCCTTACAGGGAAAGATTTCAGCCCCTCACCATTAAGTGTGAAGTAGATTTTCTCCAGATGTTCTTTTCTGGTTGAATAATTTTTTTTTTTTATTCCTACTTTGAGTGTTTTGTTTTGTGTTTTAACATGAAGAAGTATTGGATTTCGTCAAAAGCTTCCTCTGTGCAAGACACACCCTTTGCACTTGCTTTTTCTCTCTGGGTACTTCCCTTCCACCAGCGGTATGGCTTGCTGTTTCTCATATCTGCAGGTATCATCTTCAGGGCATTTCTGGGCCACCCTGTTCCCCTACCACCACCGTCTCTTCCTCAGTCAGTCAACCATACAACCTTCAAAGCACTCAGACATTACTATATATATGAATCTTGAGGATACTTGTATAGAGTTTAGTGTTTACTAGCATGTACTTATAATTTTAAATTTGCACAATAACATCTGCAAGGTAGATCCTATTATCTCCATTTTCCACATGAGGAAGTTGAAAGATAGCGAGGTTATGTGCCTTCCTAAGGTCATGCAGCTTGTAAATGTCATGCCTAAGATTAAAATGCAGGCCACCTAGCTTCAAAGACCATTCTCTTAAACACTTGCTGTCATACCTATCAATACGACCTTTACTTACTTGTTAACTTATTTTTTATCTACACACAAGCGCTGTCAATCTCATTTATTGCTATATCCCTAGCATCCATTACCATGCATGGCTGGTGTTAAATCAATATTTAATGAACAAATGGAACAATGGTCCTAAAACGTCCCACAAAAACAGAGTTCCATAGCACTGTCAACTATACACACCATGGAGAGTCACGAGGCTCCTCGGTCTTCAATTCATTGTTTCCCAAACTCCCTTGAGGAAGAGACCTCCATCTCCACTGCATTAACAGCTCACAGAGCAGTGCTCCAGGAAACACACTTTGAGAAAAATGTCTCTAGCAAGGCAGGTCAAAGAGCATAGTTCCCAGAAGAGGATGCTTCTGCCCCATTTCTGAGGCTGGCCCCATTCCTATCTAAAAGGTCTAATTTAGAGGCCCTGAAAGCACTTACATAGCCACAGCTCAGCTCAGAAAGCAAACCACAGTATTACAGTCCCCTTCTCTTTCCTGGAGTTGCTCCAGGTACAGGGGGACACATGATCACTGAAGACACTTGAAGATTTCTCCAACTATCAAGATGGCTCAATGCCCCCGAAGGTCTGTGGTCCCACATATCACAGACAGCTTTGGTTTTCTCAGAGCTCTGCCTCGCTGACTGTGGTGCACGTAAGACCACCGTTCACAATGGAACCTAGTCTCAGAAGGCAAGCAAAGCCAACAACGTATTCGCCACACAACCGTCCAATTCTTCCCATGGTACTTACTTTAAAGCTGTCATTTACATCAAGGCTTCAGATGTGGAGTGACTTCCAAACCATCATATCTCAGCTTTTCGAGTCCTCAAGGTTATCCACTTGAACTCTCTGAAAAAGGAGAAAGAAAAATCTCTACATGGATGTGGAAGAAAGAAAATAGCAAACAACACGCGGCCACCACGTCTGTGCGCCAAGCAGGACCTCGGCTGTGATTAATCTGCTGCCCTGAAGGGCTTTTCCCCTTTCAATTATTCATCTACATCAGCGACGGCCAATTATCAGCAGGGGCTAAAGCACCTTTTTAAATCTCTCCTAAAAGTCCTCAGTAAAATAATACGTTTTTTCCCATTCACCTTAAACTCAGTGATAAAGTCGTTTCTATACAATGGTTATCGAAAGCACTTATTTTTCTGTGGTGACCAGAATTTCATGTATTTGGTCTATAGGCAGCAGTAAATACAAACTTTATCTTCAGTAAATATGAGCTTTTCCTAAATGTGAATTTACATCCAAATAAGGGGACGTGGGAAGGGGAACCTTAACACAGGGAGACCTCAGAAGAGGGGGAGATGGGCTGGAACCCATGACGGAGCAGGACATGGACAACCACACAGAGCCGCGGTCCCTGCTGCTGAGAGGAAGGGTGCTGGTCAGAGAAGCCGGGGCTGGAACAGCCTGTCTAAGGCACCGGGGCTGTGGTTTTCTCTTTGCTATTAATTCCAGGCAATCGACTGGGTCATCGGAATAGTCATGACATGTTTTTCTATGCAAAAATGTGTCATGACTTTTCCTCTGACCCAATATTCTTAAGTGTGCATATCTATGTATATTTCTCTGTTTTAAAAAATAGATACAAATTTGGGAACCGGCAGTTAGCGTAATGGCTATGTCGCTGGACTCCCACGTAGTCGACCGCGGTTCGTGTCCCGGACCCGGTGGCTTAAAACTCACGCCGGGCGCATGTGCGTACGTGCCCAAGATCCCGAGAGGAGAATGGAGGAGAAGGGATTGCGGCGTGACCATCCCCCCTGGGGGGTGATTTCTCGCTTTCTGTCTCTATGTCTCTCTCTGTCTGTCTGGCGAGCGCACGCGCCCTACAATGAAAATCTCTCCAAAAAAAAAAAATAGATACAAATTTTAAAAATATAAATATATTGGGCCGACCTGCAGCATGGTGGCGAAGGCAGCTGGATCCCACACGACCAAAGGCACAGTTTGAGTCCCAGACCTGGAGGCTTGAGAAACATGTAGGACACCTGTGTGTCAGCCCAAAATCTGGAAAGGAGAGTGATGGGGAAGGGATGGTGGCATGACCATTCCCCATGGGGGTACTCTCTTACTCGCTGTCTGCCTCTCTCCAGAGAGTGCATGCACTCTTTGGCAAAATACATACATACGTATATATACTATGTTAAAATATATATGCATGCTTTTTGTTTTAAGAGACAGGTCTTGCTGTGTTGTCTAGGCTGACTTCAAACTCAAGATCCTCCTGTCTCAGCCTCCCGAGCAGCTGGAACTTTAAGCGTGCGCCACCATATCTGGCTTGGCAGGGACAATCTCCAACATTTCTTGTTCTCAGAGGCTGGGGAGCGAGGGAAAACCCCACCTGTACTAGAACGTGGCAGCACAGAACTAAAGTAAACAGATATTTCCCCACGTGGTTTGCCCAAGTAGGTGTCTCACGTGTAAACAGTGACTCACGTGGTGATGGTCATGCCTTACGCTCGACCTGACTGACTGCCAGACTTTGCCATGGCCTAGTGGTTAAGGGAGCCAGAGCCCATGTGACTGACTGCAGTTTGAAGCCCAGCCCCAATGGCTTGATAAACACATGAGATGGGTGCACAAGATTGCCCCAAATTGTGACAGGATGGTGAAATGGAGAAGGGATTAGAGCAGGAGATCCCTGTTTAGGGGCTGTTTTCCTCCTCTAGGTCTCTGTCTCTCGCTCTAGGGCAAGCACATGTGCCCCTTTGCTCACTAAAAAAGAAAGAAAAAAGTGGCTGACTGCTGACGTGGCATTCTGATGACTCAGCAGGGGAGACGTGCAGAAGACAGCAAGGCTCCAGCCCCGAGACCCCAGACTTCAGGAGAAAGCCCTTCAGTGTGTTCGTTGATTGGTGGTTAAGACAGGGGTAGCTTTGGGACAGCTTTCATGGTAGGCTATGGAAGTGCTTCCTCCATCTCCTCCTGTGTCTCCTCCTGAGCACTTCCTGTATCACCTTTTGAAAAGGTCAGGACGAAGCTCACTCAGGCACAGAAGGTCCCGGACTGGACGGCGGCCAGTGACGCCCAGCACTGTGAAGGCCAGCCTCGGCCTCCCTGGCTCTCGGTTTCCACCCACAAACAGGAGGCGTGCTGTCAGAAGCCTGCAGCTCCTAGGTGCAGAGAGGACAGGGCTCATCTCCAGAGCTCTGGAGGCAACTTCTAAGGCAGGCATGTTGTAGCAGGTGAGAGGGCAGAGTCGGCCCGGGTGGTTTCCACAAGGCAGAAAGAGTGAGCGTCACCATTGCTTACTGAAATCCAGACAGCCGTGAACTATCTGTCTATTATAAAAAGAATCTGTCTCCATCCCCCGGCCTCAGCCTCCCAGCTGGGACTACAGGTGCATGTCACCATGCCCGGCTCCTTTTGTAGCCAGGCTGTCGACCTGTTGCTCACGGTCCCCATCCTCCCACGTCCACCTGCCTAAGTTGTTGGAATTATAGGCGTGGGCCACTGCACTCAGCTTCGAGACTGAACTGGGAGTCGAACCCAGGCCTTCCACGAGGTCCCGGCCTGTGGAGAGCAGCACCTTAGCAGCACGGCACGCACTACTGCAGCTGGGCCCACACGGCCATGAACTCTTAGCCACAAAGATGGTTGTGGTAAACAGAGACAAATGACCGAGTTTCTGTAGACTGATTTTTGTGTCCCCCCCAAAACCAAAAAATCATTTTCCCTCCTCTCCCACAAATCTGTTTATTACTAAAAAGTTCTGGGGCCTTGTGAATAGGGCCAGACCAACTAAGGTTCTTTTCCTCTAGGCTTCTCCTCGGGATTCTAACCAGGGAGGAATTTGCCTGCTTTGGAAAAAGAGACCTTCTTCCTGTACCAGCTCCATGGGAAGCAAACATGAAAGTATTCAAAAAGGGAAGAAGTCAAGAGAACCACAAGAGCCAGTTGGAAAGGCAGAAGGAAACCACTGTGGGCAGCAGAGGAATCCCATCCCTCCTTCTTAAAGAGAGCACGGCATTCCACAGTCCCTGTCCCACGTCCCTCCAGCGCCCTCTGTAAACTTGGAGTGCAAGAAGCATGGCCTCGGGGCTCTGCACGGTGAGTGGGGACAGAGGAAAATCTAGAGTGGGCACCCGAACCTAAGAAAGTTTAAAAGGCCCGTACCTGAAAATCTTCAGTTCCAAATTTCTCATTGACCTAAGTCACTAGGTAATAAAACTTCAGAACACAGGACACGTGGGGAAAAAGAGAGCAAGAATACAGTCAGAAAAGGGTCCACATTTAGTGACAGGTGGAGATCTGTGAACTGGTCAAACTGGTATAGAGGCAGAAAAAAGTTCCAGAGAAAAGCAAGATACTGGGAGAAGGACGACCGTCGTGGTTAAGGCCCAAATAAGGGATGCTAAGCTCAGGGCTAGACCAGAGGTCTTGTCTCAGCCCTTCGGGGCTTTCTTGACCTTTCCAACTTATTTCTTCCCGGTCGATACAAACGTACACCTGACTTTGACATGATTATCAATCCCTGTGCAAAAACTGTGTGACTAATTCTAGTCACACGTCACCTGACAAATCCAACGGCATCTGGAGCAGAGATACCAGGGTAAGGCACACTTTTTTTTTCCTTTTATGATAGTGAGCACACACATGGCCATATGCAAGACAGAAAGAAGCACCCTCAAAGGATCCAGCCATGCCTCATTCCCCTTTCCCAGCCCTGCAGCTCCTGTGGATCCTGGGTATGCAGGTCTGGCATATTTTCAAGCCCACCCAGGGATCTGAACCCATGGTTGGCCGTATGGCTTCCAGTCTTGCAGGGCACCTGTGTTACTGCTGTGTCACAGCTGGGCCAGAAAGGCACACTTTTAGGTAAACATTTCAAAACTCGGACAGAAGGTGGCAATGGAAGTGGCCATAGTGAATGGATATTTCTGGAGAGTTTTATTCATTTACCACTGAGCTCCAGGTGGGGGCACTGAGCAGTCTTGTCCCGGTCTCTCCCAGGTGTCCAACGGTCCCTTCCATTTCAGACCTTAGTGATGAGGCTGCTATGACATCCAACTTTTCTCTGGGTACTTTCTCCCTTCTTTTTGCCCTAGAGGCCTAGAGCAAAGTTCTTCCAAATGCTTCTATAGGGTCTGTTATACTTTCTCTTTACCCTCACACGAATCTCAGGCTATCTTTCAGGGTAGCCCAGACGCCTCCAGTGTCTAGGAAACCTTGCTTCTTTCTCAAGGACCTCACTCTCTCTCCTAAATTCATGTCAAATTCCTGGTTATAAATGAGCACTGTCGCTAATTCTCAGCACTCAGGTTTTATTGAATTGATTAGCCAGAGCAAAAACAGCAATGGTAATAATAAAAGAGTAATTGTTATCATTATTTGGGTATTTATAAGGTAAATAAATAAAGTGCCCCTAAATCAGCAAAACTATCCACCCATTAGAAGGTCTCCACTGACTGAGGCCACACAATGACCAACAGGCATCACTGCGTGTCTGTCACAGTGTGGGGACGGTCCCTCAGACAGACTGTATAGCTGCCCAAGGCTTGTCATACTGGCAATCATTCTCAGATCAAACAAGACCATGGAAAAGCCATTAGGAAGTGGCTGGCTTGCAGGTGTAGGCACCGAGGTTAGGAGCAATGAGCGATGACAACAGTGGAGTGGTGTCCTTTGGAGACGGTGTAGCAGGCAAGGCCAGTGAAGGGGAGGGATGCCCTTCAAAGATCACACTTCCCTTGGGCCAGCTCTGTGGCTTGGTGGTTAAGGTAACTGGATTCCTCATAGCCAACCCCACAGTTCTAGTCCCTTGGGAAATATTCCAGGCACATGGGCATGTGCTCAGAGTCTCAAAGGGAAGGAGAAAAAGAAGGGACTGCAGAGTGGTC